ATAGCATTCAGGGATCATCTCAGACAGTGCTGGTAGTCAGTGACTCATACTTATTGTACTGAATGCTAAACCGTGACTCAGAGTGAATCTATTAGCTGCCGAACGGCCCGGTGCTTACTTGAATAGAAGCTCACATAGTGAGTCACCCGGTGGTACCCCCAAAAACCATACTTTAGATTTTCACTTGGACAGTGATTCACACAATAATCACACTGTGACCTGACTTGACTGACACATATCACTTCAAAATTCATTTCTGTGGAAGTGGCTTAGGAGCAGGCTAGAAAATCCCTCCTGCTTCATGCCCCACATGTCTAAGAACATACCGGCCTCCTATGACGCCAAGTCAAGGGCAACACACCTATCCAGCTCACACACCAGAAAGAACCATGGTCTCCTTCTTCAAGGATGCAGGCACAATTCCTAGAAATACCTTCCCCAGAAAACACCCTGTTCCTTACAATAGCTTTGTAAGAGAAGACGCCACCACGTAGCCGCTCAGCTGTTCCTGTGAGCAGCCTCTTTAAGCTTCGCTTCACATCCTCCTCACCACCAGTGACTATGGCTCCAAAGAAATACAGACACGAATACAGAGGTAGGAACACACAGTGGGATTTTAAGAACTGACATCCGACATCACTAGCTAAGTTACTGCATTCAAATAGGCAGGGTTTTCTCCATCACTTTCTCGTCGGCAACATCGGAGAGAATAAAAATCTCCTGTGTAATTTTAAAGGCTTTCCCTAAAAGACTCTCTCCTGGAAATGACCTTCAGACCAGCAGGAAAGAGATTTTTAAAATGCAAGAAAAGCTTGAAATGATTTTTAATATAAAACTGCTCAAAAGGATTCATAGAACATACAGGTAAATGCATCCCTGGTGGGGGTCTTAATTCTGTGCTGGCTTGACTTCTGCTTGATCTGCGACCTTTGTGGTCATGTCTTTATAATATCAAGTACCAGGACAACAAAGGCTGGTATTTCTTGATGTTGAAGCTAACACATACATCTGTGTTTATCCTTCTATATTCGCCCTAGCCTCTTGTTTGTGAAAGGAGTCACCAATCCTCAATGTCGTTCGTGAGAACTATGACGAGTCAGAATCTTGATCGCCCTTCAGCCCCTCAGTAGCCAAGACCCTAAAGTCTCTGAACGTGTCCTTGCTTGTAAAATGAAGAAGGCAGAGTAAGTAACTAGATTATCATAATCCCATATTTTTATATGAGAAATATGGGTATGTGGTGAAGTTTTACTATCCTACAAAAAGTTAAGATGTCTAGTTTCTACAGTAAGTCTCCAAACTTTCTTACATAAAAGGCTAAGTATCAGGCTGGAGAGATGGCTCAGTGGATAAGAGCACTGCCTGCTCTTCTAAAAAGATACTGAGTTCAGGGGCTGGTGAGATGGCTCAGTGGTTAAGAGCACTGACTGCTCCTCCAGAGAACCCGGGCTCAATTCCCAGCACCCACATGGCAGCTCGCAACTGTCTGCAGCTCCAGTTCAAGAGAATCTGACATCATTATACCAATGCGCATAAAATAAAGTTAAATAAAGTTGTTTTTTTTTAAAAAAAAGATACTGATTTCAATTCCCAGCAACCACATGGTGGCTTCCAACCATCTGTAATGAGATCTGGTGCTCTTTCTGTCCTGCAAACATGCACGCAGGCAGAATACCGTATACACAATAAATAAATCTTTAAAAAAAGACAAAAACCACAAAGAAAAATATTTTAAAAAAAGGCTAAGTACCTAATTTCAGTGACAATATTGGATGTTTTGTAAAGACCATGATTTACTGTGTAAGTTCTAAATGTGTACATGTTTAACAAAATGAACTCTTTTTCTGTTTGTTGGAGGCAAGGTCTCATGCAGCCTAGGGTGGGTTTGAACTTACTATGTAGCTGAGAACGACCTGAACTTCTGGTCTTCCTGCCTATATCTCCAATGAGCTGGGACTACCTACATGGATACCACTGTGTTTCCTTGGTGCTGGGGTTGGAACACAGGGTTTTGTGCATTTAGGCAAGTGTTCTACCAGCTGAGATATGGTTGGCCCCCATAAACCCAACTCTTTAAAATATTTATTTGTTGCTATTGGGTTTTTTTTTTTGTATGTAGTATATGGGCTCAAGACATGGCCCATGTGGATGGAGGTCAGAGGACACGTCTGTGCAGTCACCTCTCTCCTTTCTGCCTTACGTGTGTTCTTGGGTTCCTGGGCTTAAACTCAGGTCCTTGGACTTGTATAGTAACTACCTTTACCCGCTCGAACATTTCACCAAACCCAACTCCTTTTTTAAACATTAAATTTCTTTTAAAATGCTGTTTGACATTTATATGCAAATATCTCATAATTATGCATAATGAAAGGGTCCATGTGAGAGAGAAAATAATTGTATTTAAATTTAGATGTTGAGAGAAAACATTTACTGCTTCCTGGTTTTGACAAGGAACTCCCATTTCAGTGTGTAAACATACTCTTTATAGAGTACAAAAACAGACATCCTGTTCCTGCTCTTTATATTTCTTCTTTCTTCCCTTTCTCTCCCTTCCTTCCTTCCTTCCTGCCTTCCTGCCTTCCTGCCTTCCTGCCTTCCTACCTTCCTGCCTTCCTTCCTTACTTTCTTCCTAGGACAATATGTAGCCCACTTGCTCTCAAAGCTTCTGGTTTTCTTTCTGAGCCTCGGAGAGATGGGGCTAGTGATACAGACATACCCATATGTTCATATGTCTTTAGAGTCTTGCACTTCACTAAGCCAATGTCGCATCGATATAGTAACAGTATGAATAGCTTTTTAACAAAGATTTCTTTTGTATTTTATGACTATGTATGTGGGTACACCACAACTGTGCCCAGGGCCTGCTGAGGTAAGAAGAGGGTGCTAGATCCCCTAGAACTAGGGTTACAGGTTGTTGGGAGCAGCCAGCACGGTGCGGGGAGCTGAATATAGGACCACTACGCGAACTGCACATTCTCTTAAACCTATGAGCCATCTCTCCAGACCTAGGAACAGTTTTTGCATAGCATGAGCCCGGAAATTGTACTGTATTAATTCATCAGAGGTAGGCCACTCCCTCTTTTACAGATGATAAACTAAAGCACAGAGAGATGAAGTAACCTCTTTAAAGTCACACAGCCTGGTTGGAATTTGAGAGTACAGACAATAGACTGCAGGAAGAGCTCTTCATGTCTTTGCTGATTAAGGTAACAAAAGATGCAGATCAACGAACAGAAGATAAACGGGATGGAACCGTATTAAAAACTAGGTTTGGGGCAACTATAAACAAAATCTGTAAATAGTGTGTGTTAGAACTGTTCCGATGCACTTAAAGGACTTAAAGGTGAGTGTCATTTTAGCAAATTGTCCTTGAGGAAGTCAGGCAGTTCAGTGAATATGGACGTTTGCTTGGTAACAGAAGCAATTGAAAGTGAGCCTTTTGGGAGCCTAGTCACCAGCGCCTCTGAGGAAGGGTAGGGAATGACCAAGCAGAGGTGGTGGTGAGAAGTGATTGACGCTGGAGCTCCCCACCGCCCACATTTCCGGAGTTATTTGCAGCCCAATAACCTAGGGGCTATCGCCAGCACCGAGAGCACTGACTGCTGTGGCGACTGGCCGCTAAGCCCCAGCCGGATAACTCTATGGTTGTGAAGTCGGAAAGCCAAGGACAGCGATAAGCCTTCACCAAAGTCTCTGGAAAGGAACAGAGATTTCCTTTCCCTCACTCTCCTTCAGGACAGCAACCCTGCACCTCACCTTCTATGCGCCCTGGCTCTGTTCACCGCCTGGGGGCGCAGAGGCAGAGATGCTAGCTCCGGAATCTCAGCTCGGTCCCCAAACACGCTTCGCCCCGTGTCCACCAGCAGCTGGGCTGCGTGTGTGTGTCGCTAGCTCCTCTCGCCCAAGTTCCCATGGTTTCTTGCAGAATTCGGGAAGCTCCGGACCCATCCCAGCCCGAGAGAGCCACCTCTCTCAGCGCCCCACCTCCAGCTTCGCGTGTGGGTAGATCGCAGTGCCGGCACACCCCTCCCCAGCACCCTCCTCCGGTCGCCCACTCCCTGTGTGTGGAAATCCTGAAGCACAGTCAAACCTCTCCCCGAAGATCCACCCCGCCCCCGCGCTCCGCCTTTTCCGAGGCCTCTCATTTACCCACTCCTCTGAAGCAGTGGGTGAGGATAGCCACATGCACCCAGATCTCCGAAGGAGCCCACCCTTGTCCCGGGGAGCTGTCTGCCAACCCAGTGCTCCCAAGGCCCAGGGCACCGGCGTACAAAGACCCAACTCCCCATCGCTCACCTCCTCGCAGCCTCTCGGCTTCCCACCCGTACCTTCAGTCGCCTCAGACTGGGTGCCCCGGTTGATTCCAACGTCGGGAACGCCCCTCCGACTGTGGAGAATCTAGCCGCCCGGCCTGCTAAGGAAAAGCCCCCAGAGCCTGTCCCTTAAGCAACTGTTGTGTCTGCTCTGCTGCCAGGTGCATGCAGACCCCCGCGCTCGGGGTGCGGTTTGAGCGACCACTTCGATCCCAGCTCTGCCGGCTCGCCTGGGTTGCGCTTCTCCGAAAGGGAGGTGGTGTGTTCCCCGGAGTGCCACCTCCTTCCCACCTGCGCTCAAACTGCTCGCCCCGGGCGCATCCTTCCCCCAACTCAGTGAGAGCGCTTGGGTTTTCCCAAAGTGCTTGGCGTGGCCAAAATGCACTTTAGACCTTAACGACATTTCTCGTCCGGCTCTGAGTCTCAGACCCGGGACCATCGAATAATAATTGTTCACGATGGTTGGAGCCCTCCTTCAGACATTGCCATTCCTCTAACCCACCACCCACTTGTTACAGCCATTGACTAACTCAGGGGAAGATGACTCGCTGGGGCTTCCACCACCGAGCAAGAAGGGACTGGTGCCCCAAGTCCCTCGAACGAGCCCACCCTCGGGTTTCCTTCCACTGCTGGGTCCAGGGCTTCTGGGGAGAGTCTGGGAAAAAGGAGAGGACGTGGGGTTCTTACCAAGCTAGGCTCCACAGGACTAGCAGGAGGGGAAGCTTGGGCCCTCTGGCCTCCGTTGGCCGTGCGCATGCGTCCAGAGTGCCTTAGTTTTCTAACACTTGTGAGCGCGGTTGCTACTCCGCGGGCGCTGGCTCCCTGCCTCCCTGCCTCCCGCCCTTTCCTGTGTCTCTGAGTCTAAGCTGTTGAGCTCTTCTTTCTTCCTACTCTTCCCTCCTCTCCGCCTCCACACAGGCTTTCCTAGGGCTGGGCATTCCCGGGCTCGCCTCCTACCGGCGGTGTCGCGCAGCACTCGGAGGCTGCCGGCACTAAGTCCCAAACGCGAGCTAGAGGATCCCCGACCTAGGCTCCTCTACTCCTGTAGCACCAAAAGAGTGGGTGCGGCACGGAGGGAGTTTTGAGGATTCCTTCAAAGCCCTCTCCCTTTATTCCCTGGCCTTAGCTTGCGCGGGCCTATCCAGAAGGAGTGACTGAGTGCTGGGACCCTGTGAATGAAGAGAGGCTGGGGGGCCAGCGCAGGGATGGGGTAGAGAAGTGTGAGAGAAGCTGGTGCTCTGTACCCTGGGTCGCGCCTGTGACCTCCCCTCCTCTGCAAGACAATTCCTGAAGATACCACTGTCGCCGCTGCCCCGAGCGCCAGCCACACTGACCTCTACTCCCAACTCGGTTGGTGCAACCTCTAGCTCCAATTCCTCGCCCCCCCCCCCCCCCCGACGGTGGTCCCACCTGGTCTGGGTCAGCCAGACTCGGATGGCCCCACCCGACGACTGGCATGGCAAGATATTGTGCTGGAAAACCTAAGCCTGGACCGCGGTCCCACGCAGTCCCTCGGCAGTCCCCTTTCTTATAGGACTCAGAAGTGGAGCGAGGCCGCGCCACCTGGCGCCTAGCTCTCTGGACTCCCAGCGCCCGGGTCGCCGCGGCTCGAAGGGAACCTTGGAGTGGGCCCTGGGGCAATGCGCCTGAGCTCGGAGGGCTAAACTGTGGCGGCAAAGTGACCTGACACAAAAATAACGTCACGTCATTTCCTCCCTCTCCCGCAGAGGCAGAGAGGCGGAGGAGTGGGAGCGCCAACTCAGCTGCGGGCGGTGGCGACGTGCTCGGATGCTCTGGGAGGCTCAGAGCTGCAACCGCAGTTGGAAAAGATCCTCGGAGGCTCTCGCTTCTAGGAAACGCAGAGCGGGAATGAATGGCTTCGGAGAAAGAAGCTTCTAGTGCCTCCGCGGATGTGGGAGTGTCAGGGAGCCCAGTGTGCCCAGCCTTGTGCCGACGGGGTTGGAACGAGCGGGCAAGGCTGGGGCCGCGGGAGGCCGAGGATAGATTTGGTGGAGTCCCCAATACTCACAGACTCCGGCGAACTCTTCCCAGTGCAGGCGTCCTCTTCTCTGGGCTCTGGGTTTAGATTTGCCAGTTTCAGACGACGACTCCTCGGAGGTCGACCTGGAAGTGCCATTGAGGCCGCGAGTAGGAGCAGGAGGCGGTGGGGCACTGGAGAGAACCAGGCGGCCGGCCAGGCCGGAAGCTGCGGGGAGCAGTCCCAGAGTCGCGGGCCAGTCGCGGGAGGGGGTCGCCGCAGAAGATCCGAGAAGAATCGCGTGAAGCTGCAGGGCAGGCTAGAAAGGTGGTGGAGCAGCGTCGGGAAGGCTGGAGAGTCTGGGAGCTGAGCAGGACGGACGGCAAAAAGGGTGTGGGGGAACGAGAGAAACAAACGCAGCAAATCATTAGGGTCTTGTCACACACGTGAGACCTCTTGCTGAAGTTTTTTGAGACTTTACTTTGGGGGTGTAAGAGGAGGTGGATGAAAGCAAAAGGAAAAGCGCGGGGTTAGACTCTCCCTTCACTTCTTTCCTAAAACGATGCTGTTCAAGGTTGTGGTCCCTAGAAGAACAGCCATTACCAATACCCAATACCCAGCTGCTCCACAAAAATGCAAAATTTCTGTCCCTAACCCCGCCTCGGGTCATCAGAACCTGCTCCTTAACAACCCCGTGGGATCTGTATGCACTTTCAACATGGCGTGCCTGTGTAAGGTTTGTGTTTACATCTATTCGTTTTTGCACTTCTTCCTTTCTCTCCCTGTCCTTATCCTACTACCCATTTGAGGTAGTGACTAGGCACTCACTCGATTACCATGCCCTACTGGGGTAGCTTTTAAGTGAGTCGTGAATGGGAGATGCTGGTGGCTGATGGATGCCAGACCCACATTGGGCTGTGGGGAGAAGGGACTGGCCAACTTGACCTAAGCGTTCAATGGAGTGGAGGAGACCAGGGTTTTATAAGCCTTCTTACAGCAGAACTTGTTTCTGAACTCCATCTTCAGACTTCTTCCGCTTTCTACGTGTTTCTAGGAGACTTTAAGAGAGTAACTACCCCATGGGTAGTTAAAAGAAATCATTCGTGGGCATGTTTCATGTAGTAGTCAGGAGCACAGGGTCCTAGAAATAGCCTCTCCACTAACAACCCCCAACTGTGGGATGGGAACTTTAGAATTTATCTACTTCTTTTGTGAAAATGAAAGAATGAAGTTAGTCTTTAAAAAGTTCTTTTAGCTGGGGGTGGTGGCTCATGATTTTAATCCCAGCACTTGGACAGGCAAATCTGTGAGTTCAAGGCCAGCCTGGTCTATATAAGTGAGTTTCAGGACAGCCAGGATTGTGTGAAGAGTACAGAGAGATCTTTGTTCTGTTTTGTTTGTTTGTTTTACAGAATCTTTAAACTTTTACTATTCATGCCTTAGGAGAATTAAGATGTACAGCAGCTAAGGCTGGGGATGTAGCTCACTTGGTAGGTTGCTTACCTAGCATGCTTACCTAGCCCTAATTCAGCATAGCAAAACTGCCCCTATGTCAGGAATCCCAGCACTGAGGAGGTGGAGAGGTTTGTGGAGGCAAACTCATCCTCAACTTAGTCAATTTGAAGTCAATGTAAACTACTTGAGAACCTGGGAATCTTTCTCAAAGAAGAGGAGGATCCAAGAGGAGAGAAGGGAGGATGAGAGGAAGGGAGGAGTAGGAAGAGGGGAAGGAGGAGGGGGGAAGGAGGGGAAGGAGGGAAAAGTGGTGAGGAAAGAAGAGAGAGAAGAAGAGAATATGTACAGTAGGATTGCCAAAAGAACTATTTCTCAAAAATTTTTATTACCTTTTTAAAAATGTTGTGGCTTGTTTGCTTGTTTGTTTGTTTTGTTGAGACAATGCCTTGTTGAGTAGTTCAAGGTCCTAAACTTTCCATTCTTTGATCTCAGAATCCTGGGTTCGAGGATTACAGGTAAGTGCCACCCTGTGCCTTAGTGTTGTTTGAAGGCCACTTGTGTGAGGCTTGCATCTTTAAGTCTTTCTTAGCTGCTAAAGTCCTAACATTCAGGGTAGTTACAAACCGGAACCTAACTCTGCCAATGCAAACACTTTCCTCAAGCAAAACACAAAAACATTTCAATCTGTCTGTGAAAAAAAAAGGAGTAGTGTTGCCAAGAAAAATGAAAGTAGAGGCGGGGGCAACGAATAAAAGTGACAGTGTGTTGAGGCTCCGGTGGGGAGAGCGCCAGGGACAGCTGGGCTCAGGTCCCAGAGGCCAGGCGCAGGCGCTCTCCAGGGTCCTGAAGGCGGGAGCGGCCGCGGGCACTCCCGGCCCTGGCTGGGTTCCCGGAGTGGTAGTCACCCGGCCAGCCTGTTTTCTTTTGTCGGTGGAAGCCCTGTGGGAAGAGATTGTCGGGGGATGTGGGGTGGAGGCAGGGAAACCTAGCAACCCATTCTCATTCATGAGGCCTTTTCTGGGAAGCCGCCCAGCCACGTCTGATTTGTCTCTGTTGTTTGTATGCGCTGGGGAGAGTTGATCTGGGTTTGCATTTCCGCGTAAGTACACTCAGTGAGTGTTGCTTTCCTTTACTACCGTTTCTTGAGGGGAATGGGGTTATCCTACAATTTTTGATCTCCAGGTTCACAGGTCCCCTGCACCTGCTTCTGCCATGGTGCACTTGCTTTTGCGGATGGAGCAATGAGTACTGGAGATTTGTGGAGAAATGCCAGTAGTTCACTTGTGCAGGGCAAGTGAGCCATTTGGAAAACTCAGACTTGCCACAGCATCCAGAGACCGAGATCGCTTTGCCTTGAGAGGGGGCAGTGAAAATATCCCGGTCTCTGTCTCCCTCTGTCTCTGTCTCTCTCTCTCTGTCTCTCTCTCTTTCTCTCTCTGTGTTGGTGTCCGGGGGTTGTTCAACGCATGCCAACACACTTAGATGCCCTGAGGGGCCGGGCCTGGGCAGTCTTATGGGCGCAGCTACCTGGACGATGGACCTGGGTCACACCTGCTCGTGGTTCCTGAGTCCCAGGGCAGTCCCAGAACCCTTCGCCAACCTGTACAGGATGCCAGCAGTTGGCTGGAGCGAGAAGTTAAAACGGGATTGGCTCCTTCCAAGCGACCTACACCTGGACGGTGCCCAGCCTCAACATTGATAGTCGTCCACGCCCACGCACGGGGAAAGTTAGAATGCAGACAAAACGCTGCCAGCGCTTGGCACACTTCCGAGACTGTTTGGACTGCCTCCAAGGGGCCTGAAGAAGCTTAGGGCCTTTTGTTGACCCCAGCGTTTGGTGTCACAGTGTTTGTGAAAATTCGACCCTCCCTTATCCTCCCCCTATTCCCAGCCAGTCTTTCCCAGTCTCTCTCAAGATCCTTCCCTGGGTATGCTTCATTAAGCATTTTGCTCTGGTCTTCTGCTTCAACACAGAGACTCTTTTGAAGGAGCTGTGGAAGTGTTCAGGCAGAATAAGAGTCCTAAAAGAGCCCAGAGAAACAAAGTTTGCACTCATTGACTCATCTGGAGACACCATGTGGGCTCCTTAGACAATTCTGGTCTTAAACCTCCTGCTCTGGAAGCCTGGGTGGGACCCCGAGTGTAAGAACGGTGGGTGTGGATGGTAGTGATCTATAGGCCCCAATAGCAAGGAGAGAGAGAGAGCCACGGAGTATTGATGCAGTCACAAAATTCGGCCTGAGAAAAGCTATCTCAGAAGAGACCTTCAGCTGTCTGCCTGACGGCCCCTCCCCCACCGGCCACTGGCCTGCTCTGCAAGGCCCCTGTCTGTCCCCCACTCCTCTGCCTTGCAGAGGTCCTTGTCTGCCTTTTCAGCCAGATCCTAAGTATCAGCCTGAGGTGTAAGTAACAAAGTGGACACCATGCAGTCTCTGCTCCTGAAAGTACTGGTCTTTCGGATCAGACACTTAGAGGCTCTATGTTGATTGGATATTGACTTCCCTAATTAATCATATTGTCTGCCGAAGATCATCAAAATGACTTTCTGCCCAATAGACCAGACAGTCTCAAATCAGTGGAAACAGTATTTCCCTGCTTCCCAGGCAAACTGAAGTTCTTTGCATTTAAAGAACAGCACTTCACAAAGCAGTCATCCATGGCAAACCCGGAGAGCTAAAAACCACAGTTAAGGCAGAGCTTGAAATTAGTTCTGGGTTTATGATGTGATCTACAAAACCTCATGTTTAAAATTCTATTTTGCTGTGGCTTAACCCTGTTGTATTTTTAAATTTTCTGCTACTGGAAATGTCAATATCATCTTTTTTTCTTGGACCCAAGGATCCAGTAGACAGAAATCAAGAAATAGGCAGAATTTGCCTGCACTGATATAAACCGGGCAGATGAGGAGGTGATGCCTGAA